CTGGACCAGTGGGGGCGGGTCCCGGCTCAAAAGTGGCCAAAATGATGTGCGCTGACATGCTTGCAATACCACCCCGGGTCGATGGGGGTGGACCGGAATAAGAATTAGTTAATGCTAACTTGTAGCATCTTCTTACCTCTCGAAAACGTCTTTACAGGATGGACCAAAAGTTGTCTCTTGGCCCAAAGCTCCGTTCCACATGTGTGTCAATTCTGAGGGGGGTGAATTTTTTTGGACCACTCTAGTTTACTCGCTGTGAATTTTTGAAGTCTCTCGTTCAAATGAATGGGGCTCTCGCTGGCTGATGCATGTGCAGATGCGTTTTTTCACAATTTTCTTGTGGGCGGGACCCACAAGAAAAAATTAACGGACGTAGTCACGCCTATCTTCGCCGTTCTAAGTAATGGGCCAAAATAGTGCTCTCCTGGAGCTATCCAAAATGGCCGCAAGTGCTGCATTTTGAATGTACTGCAGCTGTTTTACAGCCTGTTTGGACAGACCTGTGAGCAGGCCATTGCAGTAGTCTAACCTACTGGAGACAAATGCATGGATAAGAATCTCCAAGTCTGCTCTAGACACTATGTTTTTTATCCTGGCAATGTCCAGTATTACCCCTAGATTTCTGACCTTGTTTGAAGGTTTTAGGGAGAGAGAATGTAGGTGACAGATGACGCTCTCTCTTTGTTTCTGGGGACCAAAGACAATCATTTCAGTTTTGTCTGCGTTTAGCTGAAGGAAGTTGTTTTGCATCCACTCACTGATCTGTTGGATGCAGTGAAGGAGTGAGTCCACTGGTCCATGTTCTCCTGCAGTCAGTGAGACATAGATCTGAGTGTCGTCTGCATAGTTATGATAGGAAACTTTGTTTCTGCGTATTAACTGACCTAACGGCAGCATGTAGAGATTGAACAGAAGAGGTCCCAGGATCGACCCCTGTGGTACTGCTGCTGCTACCACTACCACCTCTACTACTACTACTACTAATGCTACTGCTACTGATGGTGCTACTAGTGATGCTACTTCTACTATTACTACTACTACTGCTCCTACTGCTACCGCTACTACTACTACTACTACTGCTACTACTACTGCTACCACTACTGCTACTGCTGCTGCTGCTTAAATGATTTGTTAGTTTCCAGACCTCATTTCTTCCATGTGTCTCAAACTCCCTCTGTCGTCGACTCGCTGCCACTGAACTCATGTGGTTTCAGCTCTGGTCTCTGGTCTCGTCCCTGTTCTTGTGTGTGGTCTCTTGTCTAGTCCTTGTCTCAGGTCTGGTCCCTCTCTGGTCTCTAGTTTCAGCTGTAGTCTCCCATCTCTGGTCCCTGGTCTCTGGTCCCTGGTCTCTGGTCCCTGGTCCCTGGTCTCTGGTCCCAGGTCCCTGGTCTCTGGTCCCTGGTCTCTGGTCTCTGGTCTCTGGTCTCTGGTCTCTGGTCTCTGGTCTCTGGTCTCTGGCCTCAGCCGTAGTTTCCCCTCTCTGGTCCCTGGTCCCTGGTCTCTGGTCCTTGGTCTCTGGTCCCTGGTCTCTGGTCCCTGGTGTCCCTGATTTCTCTGGTCTCAGCTGTAGTCTCCCCTCTCTGGTCTCTGATACTTGGTCCCTGGTCTCTGGTCCCTTGTCTCTGGTCTCTGGTAACAGCTGTAGTCTCCCCTCTCTGGTCCCTGGTCTCTGGGCTCCCCTCTCTGGTCCCCTGGTCCCTGGTCTCTAGTCTCTGGACCCTGGTCTCTGGTCTCTGGTCTATGGTCTATGGTCTCTGGTCCATGGTCTCTGGTCTCTGGTCTCTAGTCTCAGCTGTAGTCTCCCCTCTCTGGTCTCCCTCTCTCTCTCTCTCTCTCTGTAGAAGGATTTTGGTGTCTCTCAGTTTGTTTTTGTTGCTGTAATCCTGGCGTCCATCTTGTCTTTGTGTTTAAAGCCTCAAAGACAGCGGCAAGGATCAGAAGTGAGAACTCTGCTGGACATGGAGCAGACGCCGAGAAGTGACGGGACGAGGACAGAGGGAGAGGACCGAGAGAGAAGACCGAGAGAGAGGACAGAGAGAGAGGACCGAGAGAGAGGACAGAGAGAGAGAGGACCGAGAGAGAGGACCGAGAGAGAGGACCGAGAGAGAGGACCGAGAGTGAGGACCGAGAGAGAGGACAGAGGGAGAAGATCGAGAGAGAGAACAGAGAGAGGACAGAGGGAGAGGATCGAGAGAGAGGACAGAGAGAGAGGACAGAGGGAGAGGACCGAGAGAGAGGACCGAGAGAGAGGACAGAGAGAGAGGACCGAGAGAGAGGACCGAGAGAGAGGACCGAGAGTGAGGACCGAGAGAGAGGACCGAGAGAGAGGACCGAGAGTGAGGACCGAGAGTGAGGACCGAGAGTGAGGACCGAGAGTGAGGACCGAGAGAGAGGACAGAGGGAGAGGATCGAGAGAGAGAACAGAGAGAGGACAGAGGGAGAGGATCGAGAGAGAGGACAGAGAGAGAGATGACCGAGAGAGAGGACAGAGAGAGAGGACAGAGAGAGAGAGACCAGAGAGAGAGAGAGAGAGACCAGAGAGAGAGGCCAGAGAGAGAGACCAGAGAGAGAGACCAGAGAGAGAGGCCAGAGAGAGAGACCAGAGAGAGAGAGACCACAGAGAGGGAGACCAGAGAGAGAGACCAGAGAGAGAGGACAGAGGGAGAGGACAGAGGGAGAGGACAGAGGGAAAGGACAGAGGGAGAGGATCGAGAGAGAGAACAGAGAGATGACAGAGGGAGAGGATTGAGAGAGAGGACAGAGGGAGAGGACTGAGAGAGAGTACAGAGAGAGAGAACTTAGAGAGAGGGCCGAGAGAGGACATAGCGCAGGAGAGAGAGGACAGAGAAAGATGACAGAGGGAGAGGACCGAGAGAGAGGACCGAGAGAGGAGAGGGAGAGGACAAAGAGAGAGAGGAGAGCAGAGAGACAGAAAGACAGAGGAGACTGGAGAGTTTCTGGTTGCTGGCCCAAAGTCTCTGGTCTGCAGTCTCTGGTCTCAGGTCAGGTCTCTTGTCCTTGGCGTCTGGTCTGGTCTCTAATTTCTGGTTGAGTCGTATCCTCCGTAGAGAAATTTGTCTTCTACATTTTACCCATCTATGTTCTCCTCTGATCTCTGGTCTCTCCTCCCTGGTCTTTGGTCTCTCCTCCCTGGTCTTTGGTCTCTCCTCCCTGGTCTCTGGTCTTTCCTCTCTGCACTCTGGTCTTTCCTCTCTGCACTCTGGTCTCCGATCCCTCCTCCCTGGCCTCTCTAGACTCTCCTTCCTGGTCTCTGGTCTCTCCTCTCCTCTCTGGTCTCTCCTCTCCCTGGTCTCTCCTCTCCCTGGTCTCTGGTCTCTCCTCCCTGGTCTCTGGTCTCTCCTCCCTGGTCTCTGGTCTCTCTTCCCTGGTCTCTGGTCTCTCCTCCCTGGTCTCTCTTCCCTGGTCTCTGGTCTCTCCTCCCTGGTCTCTGGTCTCTCTTCCCTGGTCTCTGGTCTCTCCTCCCTGGTCTCTGGTCTCTCTTCCCTGGTCTCTGGTCTCTCCTCCCTGGTCTCTGGTCTCTCTTCCCTGGTCTCTGGTCTCTCCTCCCTGGTCTCTGGTCTCGCAGTTATAATCCTTGGCGCCTCCTGCTGGTGGCTCAGTTAACTGCAGCCTCACACACAGACGCAAACATCACGCAGCGTTGGTTGTGAAGACGTGGTTGTTTCAGAGGTTATTATTCCCATGTGTTTGTGTCTATATGTGTATGTGTGTATTTATGTATTTTTGGAACAGTCTCTTTTAGAATAGACATAGATACATAAATATATTTTGATAATGTTCTGTTTGTGTCCAGTAGGGGGCGACGGGCAACGTGGAATCCACTGCGACAGAAACGTCTATGACCCAAACAAGGCAAGTGTCTCTCTGGTCTCTCTCCCGCTTTTTGGTCTATCTCGGTCTGGTCTTTCTGGTTTCTCTCTGGTCTCTCTCTCTGGTTTGTCTCTCTATCTCTGGTTTATCTCTGGTCTCTCCCCTGGTCCTACCTCCTTCAGACTTGTCCACTTGTTGCCTTGACCTCTCCATCCTGACCTCTTCCACACACACGCTCTCCTCTCCTCGCTCCCCCCGGAGATGGATCTAAACGTCCAGGTCCCCTCCCCCGCCTCCTCTGGTCTCGCTCTAGTCCCTGGTCTCTCTCTGGTCTCTCCCCTCAAAACTGTGAATAATCTCGGCCTCTTTACCCTCTCGCCGTCAGCCTCCATTATCCACGATCCACGGGTCCGCCGCGGGGGGGTCCGCGTGAGGGGGGTGGGGGGTTCTGCGTGAGGGGCCCCCACACTGCAGCGGAAACAATGGCGCTAATAGACCCAACAGTTTAGTGATTAGTGACGAAGAAGGACAAGAAAATGAGGAGGAGCAGGCAGAGCTGGAGCCGCAGTCTGAGGCCCACAGGGAGAAGGCCCAGACCGTGGCCTTCTTCAACTGACAGTGAGTTTGCATCAACTTTTTTTTGTAACTTTGTAGATAGAAATATAGACACTTTATTGATTCTTGTGGGCGAAATACACAGAAACACACCCATCCACATAAACAAAGGTTGGTGTTTGCAGACTTTGCTGGTTCTTGTTAAAGCTGGGGAACCTAATTTTCAAATAATAATGTCACTAAATGGGATAAGATCCATTGTTCCTTGTTTTAAAATCAGTTTGTCGCTGACACCAGTTTTCACATGCATAGATTGTTGGATCAGAGACCAGAGAAAGAGAGAAGAGAGAGAGACCAGGGCGAAAGAGAGACCAGAAAGAGAGACCAGAGAGGGACCAGAGAAAGACAAGAGAGCGAAAGACAAGAAAGAGAGACCTGAGAGAGAGCAGAGAAAGAGAGAAGAGAGAGGGACCAGAAAGAATGACACAAGAGAGATCAGAGAGAAACTAGAGAGAAACCAGAGAGAGGCCAGAGAGAGACCCAAGAGAGACCCGAGAGAGACCCGAGAGAGACTCAGTCCTACAGGAGAACATGGACTCCTGAGTGTGGTCCTCTTAGCGCAGCTCTTTGTTTACACATCCATCACAGAGAGAGCAGAGCAGGGGGGAGGAGGGGGGAGTCTCTAATGAGGGGGGAGGAGGGGGGTGAGGCGGCAGGCGACAGGCGCCAGGGTCCGGACAAAAGACTGTCTGCTGCCGGACCCCCTCACCTCCCTCACCCCTGTCCTGAGTCCTGTCCCCTCTGAGGAACACTCACACCAGCTACAACAGACTCACAATATGTGTTTGGAAACAACAGATTCTCTGGTGCACGCAGGTCTTTCTCTGGTCTCTCTTACTGGCCTCTCTTTGGTCTGTCTCTAGTCTCTCTCTGGTCTCTCTCTGGTCTCTCTCTGGTCTCTCTCTGGTCTCTCTCTGGTCTTTTTCTGGTCTCTCTTCTGGCCTCTCTCTGGTCTCTCTCTAGTCTCTCTCTGGTCTCTCTCTGGTCTCTCTCTGGCCTCTCTCTGGCCTCTCTCTGGTCTCTCTCTGGTCTCCCTCTGATCTCTCTCTGGTCTCTCTCTGGTCTCTCTCTCTGGTTTCTGTCTATATTTTTTGTCTCTGGTGTCTCTCTTTCTTTTCAATTAAACTCAATTAATTTTGGTATTGCCCTAAATCACAACAGTTGCAGATTTGCCGACACAGATCAGAGAATCAAACAGTACAAACTGTGCATAAGTGTGTTTGAATGTCGTGATCATCTTTGTCCTTAGAGCCTACTGCTTTGGCAAAAACTCTAAAAATCCAGTGGGAGAAAAGTGAGATACCTCAGGGAGGCCCACAGTGAGAGAGGAATCTGCTCCCACAGACGGATAGGCTCTAGTCTCTGTCTTTCTGGTCTCTCTTTCTTGTCTCTCTCTGTAAGTTTCTAGCTCCTATTGACATACATGTAAAATTAAACTCCTTTAGCGTAGTAACGGCTAGAGAGACCAGAGAGAGACCAGAGAGAGACCAGAGAGAGACCAGAGAGAGACCAGAGAGAGACCAGAGAGAGACAAGAGAGAGACAAGAGAGAGACAAGAGAGAGACAAGAGAGAGACCAGAGAGAGACCAGAGAGAGACCAGAGAGAGACCAGAGAGAGACCAGAGAGAGACCAGAGAGAGACCAGAGAGAGACCAGAGAGAGACCAGAGAGAGGCCAGAGAGAGACCAGAGAGAGACCAGAGAGAGAGAGACCAGAGAAAGAGAGACCAGAGAGAGACCAGAGAGAGACTAGTGTTGGGTTTGGGTTTTGCTCTGCCTCCCCCCTCCCTTTCTGTTGTTTTAAAGGCATGTGTGAGACCGGGGGCGTGGCTGGCTCAGCAGCAGGTGTGTGTGGGCTCACACACCTGTTCCTCATAATCACCCTGGCTTCAAGTACCTGGTTGGAACTTCACGTCGCTGCCAGATTATACTATGTCAGACGTCAGTATACAGCAACAGTCTGAGTTTGTGCTTTGCGGTTTGTCTTATGGTTTTTTTGTGTCCTGTGTTCAGGTCCTCCTTTTCCTGACCAGCCAGCCAGCTCCCTGTCTCAACTGCCTGCTTTAAGTTTATTCGTTTTTGTAAAGTAAATCCTCTTATAATTTCGCTCTGTCTCCGTCTCTGCTTTGGGATCCAGAACACTCCCGTAACAACTAGAGAGAGACTAGAGAGAGACTAGAGAGAGACTAGAGAGAGACTAGAGAGAGACTAGAGAGAGACTAGAGAGAGACTAGAGAGAGACTAGAGAGAGACTAGAGAGGGACTAGAGAGAGGGACCAGAGAGAGGGACCAGAGAGAGGGACCAGAGAGAGGGACCAGAGAGAGGGACCACACTGTGTCCACTCCTCATACAGACATATGGAGTCACAGCGGATAGAAGGTGGAAAAATAACACGAAAAGACATGTTTATATTTTTAAGCACAATTATTTTTTATTGAAATTGTGAGACAATCCAGAGACAGAAAAAAATACCCGGAACAACCAGCATAAACAAGTTCTTTTTTAAATATACGTTTGAATAGATACGTCTTTGAAGCGTGGAGTGAAAACCTGAGGCCGAAGATTCTCCAAGAGTCAAAAGTTAGTGGTTGAATGGCACACTGTCCAGTCCACCAGCCCTACTCTACTCTACTCTACTCTACTCTACTCTAGGACCAAAGAAGGACCTGGTACTGGATAAACAGGGCAGAGAGAAAAACTCCCAATCAGGGGAGAGTAGAGTGTCTCTGGTGTCTCTCTGTCTTGTCTCTCTCTTGGTTCTCTCTCTGGTCTCCTTTTAGTTTCTCTCTGACCAAAAAGAGAGAGTAGAGCAAAGCAGAGTAAGGGAGAGTAGAGTATCCCTGATATCTCTCTATGGTTTCTCTCTCAGACCAGAAAGACAGAGTAGAGTAGAGTAGAGTAGCGTAGAGTAGAGTAGAGTAAGGCTGGTGGAAACAGGGCTTCTCAGGGATATGTCAAAAAGGGGAAAACAGGACAAAGCAACAAATATATACACACTAATATACAGTCTTGAATAAATTAATACCAATTGGATATTTTTTGGATCTAAGCTTTATGTACAGATTCCTCCTTCGTTTTTAATTACATAAATAGTCCACAATGTGAAAGATAAATGTGTCCGCGATTGCACCATCAAAAGTCTTTTTCCCGCCTTTTTTTTGTTGAGAAAAGTCCAAAATGGCAGCGGTTTCTTCAAGAAGGTCCGACTCCAAACCACTCACGGCAAGTCCACCAAAGAGACCAGAGAGAGGCCAGAGAGAAACCAGGGAGAGGCCAGAGAGAAACCAGGGAGAGGCCAGAGAGAGACCAGAGAGAGACCAGAGCTGTGTAGAACTGGTGGTTATAATCCGTGAGCACTGATTCGGACCAAAGCGCAGCCTGATCTGAAATCTCAGTACAGTCCGTCCCCCGCGGCTTCCATCACTTGGGAGAGTCCGCGGTGGGCGAGCCCCCCCTCTGGCCCTCGAGCCCGCTCACCAGTCTCTGAATGCTCTGCAGCTCGTTCACGGAGTCCTTGAGAGAGCTGCTTTTGGGAGAAACCCCTGAATGCCCCAGTTTGTGGTTGAGCTCCAGGACCGGGCTGGCCTCTCTGCTGCTGCTGCCCGCCTTCGAGCACTCCGAGGTGGATAGCAGAGCTCCGGAGAGGAGGCTGGAGGTCTGAGGCAGGGACACCGGCAGCTGGTAGGGATTGAAGCGAAGTCGAGGGCGGGTGGTGGAGCTGAGGAAGGGGTGGCGGGAGAGAGGACTCCCCGTGGAGCTGGAGGCCGAGGCTGATGCGGCTGCGGCAGCGGCTGCCATGTATGTGTAGGGGTACGGGAAGAGGCCGCCGAAGGGAGGCATGTGGAGGCCCTGAGGAGAGAGACCCCAGGGGGACTGGGTTAGGAGGATAATCAAACCACAACAATGCAAACAGGTAAATCTATGTCTATGCTCTAAAATAGTTTGATGCTCTTTAGGACTAGAAGAGTCCAGAGAAAGAGAGACTTGATAGAGAGGGACCAGAGAGAAAGGGAGACTAGGGAGCGATAATAGAGAGACCAGATACCAGAGAGAGACAAGAGAGCGAGAGAGACCAGATAGAGAGAAACCTTCGAGAGAGAGAGAAACCAGAGAGAGACTAGAGAGATAGACAGACCAGACCAGAGAAAGAGACCAGAGAGGGCTCGTTTGCCCAACCCTGCTTTAGAGAGCGAGACCAGAGAGAGAGAGACCAGCGCGAGAGAGACCAGTGCCTTCTCACCTGTGACGCGAGCATGTGCTGTTGTAGATGAAAGGGGAAGGCGCCTCCTCCAGCTCCTCCTGCTCCTGCTCCTCCTGTGCTGGGACTGCCTATGCTCAGACTCCCTGCGTCCAGGCCGGCCCCGGACACAGAGGCCAGCAGGTGGCTCATGCCCATGGCCGAGAAGGCGCCGGGCCCCATGAGCTGACTGGGGTGGAAGAGCAGAGGGGACCCGGCGCTCAGAGGGTTAAAGAAGGGTTGTCCATGGAGACCGGAGAGAGCCAGACTCTGCAAGTGTCCGGGCGAGAAGTGAGCGCTCTCCGTCTGAACCATGAGGGGTGAGAAACTCTCTTTGCTCGCACTGATCCCTCCAGAGGTGTCGCTGTGGTCTGAGGGTTTGCTTTTGTCTTTGTCCAAGCTGCGGGCACTGAACGCCGGGTGGATCTTCTTGCTGTCGGAGGTGGAGAGGGAGGGGGTGGGGGTGGAGAGGGAGGAGGAGGAGGTGGGGGGGCGGTCCTCACACCGGGCGCTGAAGGGGGACTCAGGTTCGGGGCCGGGGCTGGTGGATCCGTCCAGGTCGTGAGGGTCCAGGTCGTGGTCGCTGTCTGAGCAGGTCTTGTCGTCTGCGAGGGGAGAGAGAAAGAGAGAGAGAGGGTTAGAATAAACAACAATACAATACAAGGACTTCACTAATTCTCCAACAACAGATTAGAGAATCAAACAGTCAATAACAAAGACATAGGAGATAGGTTCAAATGTGCCGGATCATCTCAGGAACTCTTTGGACCAACTTTGAGATGAAAGAATTTATTTGCCATTTGAAGTAAAACCATATTGGAAAAACTGTGCAAGACTACCCCAGTGTACACCAGATCAGCGAGAGAGACCAAAGACCAGAGAGACTAGAGAGAGAGAGAGACCAAAGACCAGAGTAAGAGACCAGAGTGAGACGAGAGTGAGACGAGAGTGAGACGAGAGTGAGACCAGAGTAAGAGACCAGAGTAAGAGACCAGAGTAAGAGACCAGAGTAAGAGACCAGAGTGAGACCAGAGATAGACCAGAGTAAGAGACCAGAGCAAGACTAGCGAGAGAGCGATAGACCCAAGACCAGAAGGACCAGGGAGAGAGAGATCAGAGAGAGCAGAATGAGGCTCGGCTTGGTGAGAACTATAGGAGCAGGACGATTTTCCTACTGTGGATGTTTTTATAGTGATAGGGAGACCGGAGAACCCGGAAGAAACCTACACAGGCACGGGGAGAACATGCAAACTCCACTCAGAAAGACCTTGTTCCGACCATGATTCCAACCCAGGATCCAGGAGAGTCTAACTCTCGGCTCATTATAGTCTCTTTTCATACGGTTTTATATTGTCCTATGGTCTCACCTCTGGCTCTGAAGTGCAGGGGACTGGCCCCGGGGCCCAGGGGGGAGTGGGTGGCCCCCGCTGGAGTCTCACTGGACGAGGCATCGGAGTCGGCCCCTTCCCTGTCCTTACACTGGTCCTCGTACAGACGCAGAGAGGGCATCGTCAGCTGCTTCCTACAAACACAACTCAAGGTCAGGACTTTAGAGCTTAGAGAACTTAAAGCTCGGGTACGTAAGTTTCAAAGCATCGACAGTGGAACTTTGTATTTAGATTCAGCTCTGAAAACAGTTGCGGTCTGTTACTAGTTTTGTGTTTTAGTCTCTGTGTAATGTTTGGATCAGGTTTTACCGATGTGAAAAGTGAAAAAGAGAGACCAGAGAGAGAGAGACTAGAGAGAGACCAGAGAGAGAGAGACTAGACAGCGACCAGAGAGAGACCAGAGAGACTAGAGAGACCAGAGAGAGACCAGAGAGACAGACCAGAGAGAGACCAGAGAGAGACTAACGAGAGAGACCAGAGATAGAGACCAGAAAGAGAGACCAGAGAGAGACCAGAGAGAGACCAGAGAGAGACTAGAGAGAGACTAGAGAGAGACCAGAGAGAGACCAGAGAGAGACCTGAGAGAGACCAGCTAGAGACAAGAGAGAGACACTAGAGAGAAACCAGAGCGAGAGACCAGTTTATTTTATTGTAGTATTTTAAAGCAGATGAAGGTTGTACCTCTTCTCTCTCCGTCCGTTTCCTGTGTCTCTGAATCCTTTGGCGAACGGGTTGTTGTCGATCTTCAGCTGCGTGATCTACACAAACACAGAGAGAAACACACAAATGTTATTACAACACACAAATATACACTTTTACACACAACTACACACATGTTTAAAGTTGTTATTTAATTAAAGACAATAACAACAAGAGAGAGACACAAGGCACCAGAAAGAGCGACCAGAGAGAGAGACCAGAGCGAGACACCAGAGAGAGAGACACCAGAGAGAGAGAGACCAGAGAGAGACCAGAGAGAGACCAGAGAGAGAGAGACCAGAGGAAGAACACACACACACACACACACACACACACACACACACACACACACACACACACACACACACACACACACACACACACACACACACACACACACACACACACACACACACACACACACACACACACACACACACACACACACACACACACTTTGTTTAAGCCTCAGACTGTGCTGCAGATAAACAGAAGTTCTGGGAAAAGGGGAATAGTGAATTATTAATGTTTTCATAACGACTGGAGTAATTCTCATTGTCCCCGAGAGAAGAATCCTCCTGGAAGAGTCTGTGCGCACCGAGACTTGCGGCCGCGGACGCCAGGGGACCACATTAATAATGCACACGTGGTTTAGAGAGAAGACCCGTCAAGAGAGACAAGAAAGAGAGAGAGACCAGAGAGAGAGACAAGAGAGACCAGAGAGAGACACACAAAGAGAGAGAGACACAAAAGAGAGTGACAAGAGAGAAACGAGAGAGAGACACAAAGAGGACCAGAAAGAGAGATAGACAAGAGAGAGAGACACACAAGAGAGAGACAAGAGAAAGAACCCTGTCTCTGATAGGCTGTGTTGTGTAGTAGTTGTGTAGTAGTTGTGCAGTAGTTGTGTTACCTTGTCGTTCTGATAGGCCGTCACTGCCACAAACTCGGTCTCCGGGAACACGTAGGTCCTGAAGGTGGAGTAGGGCAGCTTCAGGATGTCGTTGGCCCGGACTATGTGGAAACGAGGCTGGTACTTGTGCATCGAGTTCAGGATGGTCTGCTCCAGGAGACACAGGCCACGAACACGTTAGTACCATCAGACATGAGACCAGAGAGAGAGAGCAAAGAGAGAGAGCAGAGAGAGAGAGCAAAGAGAGAGAGCAGAGAGAGAGAGCAGAGAGAGAGAGCAAAGAGAGAGAGCAGAGAGGGAGACCAGAGAGAGAGAGCAAAGAGAGAGAGCAAAGAGAGAGAGCAGAGAGGGAGACCAGAGAGAGAGACCAGAGAGAGAGAGCAGAGAGAGAGACCAAAGGGAGAGACCAAAGAGAGAGAGCAGAGAGAGAGACCAGAGAGAGAGACCAGAGAGAGAGACCAGAGAGAGAGACCAGAGAGAGAGACCAGAGAGAGACCAGGGAGAGACCAGAGGGAGAGACCAAAGAGAGAGAGCAGAGAGAGAGACCAGAAAGAGAGCGAGACCAGACAGAGAAAACAGAGGGAGACCAGAGAAAGAAACCAGAGAGAGACTAAAAAGAGACAAGAGAGAGAGCCGAGAGAGACTAAAGAGAGAGAGACCAGAGAAAGAGCAGCAAAACCATTGGCCAATCTTTTAACTGTGACCCATTTTCTCTTCAGTACACACACACACACACACACACACAGTTTTAAAACTATATTATGTAACTTTTGTTTTGTCTTTCTAATTCACTAAAGCAAAGTGAGGATTCTTTGACGTAAACTGCAAAATGAATGCAATCATTGATATTATTTAAGAGTCAATAAGTAATAATAAAAAGTTGTTCTGTTGTCTAAATAGATAAATAAATATTTTTATTTTTAACAGCATTAATGGACATTGGCCTCTGCTCCTTTTGGGACCAATGTCTCTGTGTTTTATTGTATCACTGCATTCCTTGTGTTTGAACTGACTCTCTGATCTGTGTTAGTGAATCGACAGTTTTGTAAAGTCCTTTGAGACGACAGCTGTTGTAATCAAGGGCGATACAAGATTAAATTGAATTGAATTGAATTAAAAACATAAATAAATAAAACTTGTATACAGATGTTGCTGTTTAAACTCATCTAGTTCATGTTTTTGCAGTGTAGGGACCAGAGAGTGCAGCTCCGGTCGTACAGAAACACACTGCATGTTGTTCTCCTCTCCGCCAGAAGAGGGCAGTATTCACACACACACACACACACACACAGCCGCAGAATAAACACGAGCCCAGATCCACAAACCTCCAAAAACAGCGTTAGAAGAAACCTCATTCATAAACTTTTATCTCATTCATAAATTGAAACCTTTTTCTTACCAGCGGTGAAAGAAACGTAGTTATTTTGTTACTTTTAGTGCCTTAAAGCTTTAGAACAAAGATCTAAAACGTGGCATTTCTCTTTGATCTCAGAGTAAAGTTGCAGTTTAACAAAAATCATCCACCGTTATTTATAGCGAGAATAGGTTTTTATAAATTTAGCGAATTTAGGTTAAATTTAAGTTAAGAAATGTAGCAAGAAAACAACAAAATCTCAATCTTTTTCTATGAAGGGAAGCAATATTTTAAGAGTGAAACATCCAACTTAAATAACCACTTTCACACATTTATGATGATTAATTAACAATAATGTATAAATTTCTATCTCAGGTTTGACATTAAAACAATAGAGATAATAATATTGCACAGATGTAAAACAATACTTTAATTTAAACTAAACCAGTTAAATTTTTTAGGTAAAATGTAAATATATTTGAGTAAAGATGTTTATAATTTTATTACTGTGTGAAAGATAAAGATGAAAAAACGGGATAGATTTAAAGGAGCGGTTTTAATATAATAAGAATTCATTTATTGTTTCTGTGGCAAATCTAAGACACTGTTTAATACTTCAATAATACATTTTTAATACTAGTTTAATAATTAATGTATGATCTAGATCCACAGATAAATAATAATATCTCACATTTTATGAATGAAAGAGAAATTAACTAAATGTCAAAAAGAAACACATCAAAGGTAAAGTCTATAATTGTTTTGTTTCTGTGGAAAATCTTAGACAAATTCAGGATATTAATTTTTAAATATAGTTGTATTCTTCTTTAATTAACTAATTTAAAATGTGTAGATCCGGGTCCACAGCTGCGAATATCTGATATTTGAAGGATTAAAGATAAATTATTAAACATTAACAAATAAAGGACAGATTTAAGAACAAGTTTTAACATTGAAATAATAATAATTCATATTTTGTAATTGTTTTTTGGCAAATAATGGATAGAAATAAATACAGTAAATATAGGTTTGTTATTGAATGTATTGATCCAGATCCTGAGAAAATAACATCTCAGTTTTTATGAATTAAAGATGAATTATGATAGATTTAAGAAACATTCAATATTTTGCATCGTTTCTGAAGCAAATCTTTCTAATACATTAAATATAGGTTTGTTAATTAGCAATTTTCAAATAACGAATGTATAATTTATAGATCCACAGATGCTAATTTCTCAGATTTGAAGGATTAAGGATAAAAAATGTAAATATCAAAGATAAACTATAGATTTATTATTTCTTTCTGTTTCTGAGGTAAATCTTAGACTTTGTTAATGAACATTAGCCGCAGATTCGTAGATGCTAATTTCTCTTTTTCCCTCTGTCCTTAATCCTCGTGAACGACCCACTTCCGCAGATGTCACATTAAAAATTCAGTTTCAAAAAAAATCAACCCCCGAAAATATGTGAATATTTTAAAAAACATGAGAATTTACCCAAAAGTCGATGTTTAAACAGAGTCACTTCTGTCACTTTTTTAACGCCTCATTTTTCAATTTAAACCAGTTAAAAGTCGAGTTTTGGTTTCTTACTTCTTACTTAATAATATTATTACTAGTTTAATATCATGTTTTCTTCTTTAATCTCAGTCTAAAATGTTAAATAATAACGATAATAATTGTGTTCAATCTAAGTATTATTGATTCTTTAATGTTTTTGGATCAGTTTTAACCTCGGGTCGAGCTTCAGCTTCAAAGAGAAAGAAGAAAAACTATAGAACGATACAAGAAACGATCAAAAAATACATTTATCTAATGTGAAAATGAACTTTTTTGTCTTAATTCAATCTTAGTCTAAAATGTAAATAATGAATAATAATAAAAAAGCAGATGTGTTTAGAAAGTGGCGAAAACGGCCGAATTTGTAAAAGATTTGGTGAAATGTATACATTATATATATGTTTTTTTGCCTGTTTATAAAAGGCAACAACAAAAAGCTAAAAAAAAAAAGGATTTCTCGATAGTTTTATTGATTCAACAAGAAACCGCAAAAAAATCATCTTTTAGCTTCTCGCTCTTGCAAGATTTACACATTTCTCCTTTGAAGATCTATGTTTGCATGTTCTACCAGTTCCTGCTTTATTTCCCGCTAAAAACAACAACATTCAGAATTATTATCATTCATTGTTTACTCTGTGACGCACGACGTTTCACTGTTTTAAAACATTTTAGGCTGAAATTGAATTAAGACAAAACATTGACATTAAGTTCTTTTTCGACTCGATTCTGTTTGGATTGAAATATGTCTTTGACTTTTCCCGTTTTAAAGTTTTTCCTCTTTTTATCTTTGAGGCTGAAGTTTAAGCCGAGGTTAAAACTGAGCTTAAAACATTAGATTTTCCTCTGGTCCAGTTCAAATGCAAAGAAATGAAGGGAACGACTAAAAACGGACAGATAATATAGAAATATAGAGTTTTTTTTACATATTTTCGTGATGTAAAACTTGCTTGAGATTCCTCTATGTAAAGAACGGAATATTTTTGATAAGAATCAAGACTGAATCTGTCAAAACGTAAAATATTTCTCAAATTGAACCAAACATAGCGTTTTTTTTTGCAGTGCATGAGGTGGAAAACACCTTCATGCAGCAGACACGGACTGTGGCTTCAGCTTCTACACAACCTCACATCAGAGAGAAACACAGTGAAAGATCATAAAAGTCCAGACGATCAGACGCAGACTTTAAGCTGTACGAACATTTGTGGATTTGAATTTTTGTGAATGAGCTTCTCTACAGTCTTTACGCTGCAATAAGAGGTGGAAAATAAGGTAGAAATGGCTCAAATTTGACAAAAGTGTGTCTTAATTGGAGCGGATTCTGACAAGGTTTGTCAATGGGACAAAGCAAAATGATGTTGTTTTGAAATGACACCATCAACAGTTCGCGAAATGAGACTGAATGGTTTTGTTCCATTGGTGAATTTTGTTTTGACACAGTCAGAATAAACTCAAATTAAGATAAAAACACTCGATTCAAGGAGTTATTACCTCATATTTTATCATTTTTTGCAGTGTACAAAACCAGGTTGCCAGGTTTGCTAACTTATTCATTAACGATGCTATGTTCTAGAGGTATTTTAGCTTTTCTCAATGGTATTTTTTTCAGTGTATGAAGCTTCATAGTAGAGAGACACACACACAACGTCAATAATAATAATAATAATAGTAGTAATTGTGGATTTATCTGTTGAATTCTGTCTCTCTGTATCAGGTTGCCAGGTAAGCCAACTTAGAATCAAAAATGACTAAATTCACGTGTTTAAAAAAATATATATAATAAAATATTTAAATACTGTTTTTTGCCGTGAACAGAGCCACATTTAAGCTACGACTTCTCACTCGCTGGTTTTTGCAGAGACTACACTAAAACTCATAACAGAGGAGACGCTAGCAGCCATGTGAGCTAGATTATTCATTCAAAATTATTCAAAAACAGAATATTTGCTAAAGCTACACTAAAAATACTACTTTTAACAACAACAGACAATAAAAAATTGGTCTTTTTTAGCTTCTCTCATTATTTTTGCAGAGACTAAAGCTTCATTGAAACTACTGCTACTACAGACGATGATAATGGCTCATTTCTAGTGTATTTTTTTACCTTCTCTTGACGCTGTTTTTGTGAATAAAGCTAAAATAAATCTACTATTTCTCATTCACAACAGAAGACAATAATGTGTTGGTTTTTTTTCTTCTCTTGATGTTTTTGCCGAGACTAAAGCCACATTAAAACTCATGGAGGAGGAGACATAAGAATCAAAAATTGGGTATTATTCAGCTTCTCTCGACACTTTTTGTTGCAACTAAAACTCCTGTTTCTCTCTCACGACAGAAAACAAAAGACACGAGACGATAACAGCTAAAAACTTACAAATCCGTGCTTGTCGGAGATGTTGTTGGTGAGTTTGAGTTTGTGGAACGCCACGGGTTTGGCCATCCACTGCTCCCCCGTGGCCGGACTGTCGGGGTGAATGTACATCCTCTTGGGCATCTCGGGGTCCGCCTTCCCCGCCACCATCCACCGCGAGTTGTGGAACTTGTACCTGCAGTCGTCCGCCGCCACGATGTCCATGAGCAGGATGTACTTGGCCTTCTTATCCAGGCCATTTATGCGGACTTTAAAGGGAGGAAACATGCGTCTGTGGAGAGAGAGAGAGGAAGAGAGAGAGAGCACACAGAGGTTAGAAAGGATTCATTCACTGCCATTGACAAACTTCTCTAAGACCGGTGATTTCTGTGAAACTTCCCTGTTTTCAACTGGAGATTACAGGACAACAAAACTAGCTACAAACTAACTTATTTTTGCTGATGAACGTAGACGGCCCAATCTTTCAGAATCTGGTTTCACATTTCACATAGTCCCGGTACATCATATTCTGTGGGTCTTGAAAGTCAATGAAATCATCTTAAAAACCTTCTTATAATGCAGTTTAATTCAATGTTAGTGCGATGTTTTTGTGTGTGGACCTCAACCTCAACAGCACAAAGTCTTGGAGGACTTTAGAAAGTTGTGGATTTTCCAAGAAAAGATCAGAGAATCAGTTCGAATGCAGGAAATGTAATGATAACAAACACATAGGAGCCATTGGTTCATAGAGAGAGATGATTGAGGCTGTAGACCCAGGACTGAGGCTGTAGATCCAGGACTGAGGCTGTAGACCCAGGACTGAGACTGTAGACCCAGGACTGAGGCTGTAGACCCAGGACTGAGGCTGTAGATCCAGGACTGAGGCTGTAGATCCAGGACTGAGGCTGTAGACCCAGGACTGAGACTGTAGATCCAGGACTGAGGCTGTAGACCCAGGACTGAGACTGTAGACCCAGGACTGAGGCTGTAGATCCAGGACTGAGGCTGTAGACCCAGGACTGAGGCTGTAGACCCAGGACTGAGACTGTAGATCCATGATACAGTCCAAACTACACATATTTGTGGTTTGTTTAAGTTTTGACGTGAATTTTGAGCCTTAGCTTTAGAATCCGAAAAAACTAATCAATGAGAAACGTCTAAAATTTGAATAGAAATCGCTCACTTTTAACCAGTTCAAGCAGAATGAAGCCAAAATTAAAATACAATAAAAACTGGATTTATATCTTAAATTGACCCGTTCTCTTCCTCAATTCTAATATCTCTAAAGACGTAAAAGTTGACAAATTTCTTTCTAAAAACGATAAACAATGTTGAGCGTTTTTGTTGTTTGAAAAGAGAGAAATTTATAAAAACAACTAGAACAAAACACATAACTAAAAAATACCAAGGCCAGAAAGAAATGAAACGGAGAGATTAATCCGGTGTTTGTTTCAATCTGTTTCAGTCGATTTGGTGAAATTAAACCCAGATTCTGTAGTATGTTTTCCACCGGTTCTTGGCGTCTCCGGCTTCTCTATAATCCATCTATAGTTTAAGCTTTAATAATATCTTTCTAAAACGTAGCCACGACAAGAATTTGCTTCAGGAACATAGGTTCAAAGCTGCTTATTTCTCACGTCAAAGACAAAGAGAAATTATGTTTTTTTTGCGACAATTTTAGCGATATTTTGATGCAATGGCAGATTTAAAGAGACACACACACATTATTTGTAAGGATAGATTATGACAGTTTGTGCATATACATATTTTTTTACACGTGTGAGATTGATGGAAAACAGAGACTTTAGAATGAGACTAATCCATAAATGTCCTTTGATCCTGCCCTATACCATTTTTCTATTTCCCACCGGTGTCAACACAAATTCCTACGGTTTTTTTTCCTTCTTTTTTTACAGTGTGTGACGCAGAGAGACACTGTTATAAAAGCAACAGGCGCAGTGTTCAAAAGTTAAAAAACGTGATGAATAAACGTCTCATATTAAATACATTTGTTTGAGTGTAATTTATAAAAAAAAATGTAGACTCGGATCCAAACGCAGCGCGAAAAATTGTGTAATAACAGCGTCTGAGGCTGCAGTAATAAGGAGACAGTATGAGACATGGTTTTGGTCTGTGTTTTTAATGTCTTTAGTGTTTTATCACCGCGTTTAATGTGAGAACGATGTGTCTATGGGCGCTTATGGCAGCGAGGCCTGGGTTCTACTGTGGCAAGGTCTATAGGCTCAGTTCTGGTTCTAAAGTCTCGATCCTGGGTTTACAGCCTCAGTTCTGGGTCTACAGCCTCAGTCCTGGGTGCAGCCTCAGTCCTGGATCTACAGCCTCAGTCCTAGCCTCAGTCCTGGGTCTACAGCCTCAGTCCTGGGTCTATACAGCCTCAGTCCTGGGTCTATGCAGCCTCAGTCCTGGATCCGTTTGGAGCGGGTCCCTCTCTCTCTGGGTTTCTCACTTTTGCCATTTTGGACATTTTGTATAGACACTGGTCATCCCGCTCCCTATGGACCAATGGCTCCTATATATGTTTATTATTATGTATGTATTATTGCTCTGTTCGTTTCATCCTCTGTTTCTTCTGCTTTAGCTCTGCACACAAATACATTGAATTAAATCGAAATTTCCACCTCACAATTAATCAAAATTCTCTCAAAAAAGTGTCAAATAAACTGCGTGCAAAAAATACTTTCTAAACATTTATGGGAAGAAGCAGCAGCAGCAGCAGCGGGGAACGGAACGAGATCACACCCAGAGACAGAGCCTCAGAGGCGGCTGCAGAGGAGGAGGCACCGTGGCCCGGGAGAGCGCGCGGAGACACGGGCTGAACGTGAACAAAACAGCACGAAAAACGCAAATTCTAACAACATTATTAGTTATTACCAATCAGGGAAAATACACCAGCTTTTTATACATTACGACACAAGGATTTTTGATTTTACTGACGTTGTTTTACGTCAGTCTAAAGAACGCTGTCTCTGCCCTGATCACACACACGCCTCAAAACTAAATTGAAACAAAAATGATCACTATAAATTTCCACAGATTTAGTTCAGTTTTCTGACATATTTCCACACACTATATTTGTATTAATTCATTATCTTTGCTCGTGTCTTAAACCCATCATTCAACCAGAGACATGTCACTGCAGGCAGCGTCAGGCATTCATACTAAAACACATATACGTCCAAACACACGCGTCACACACAACATTTCACTCATTACGAATTCATACAAGTCTCTGTGCTAAAATACACGGTTATCTTCATCCACAGCAGGTTTGGAGGCAGCAGCAATGATTCATAATTGATATTGGACGCTGCGTTTTTAGCAAAGTAAATAATGCATCTTTATAGTAACATTGTAGACTTCTATATATGTGTTTTTACCTCATTTGACTAAATACTGCACCACATAAAAACTAGAATCCAAATTTTCAGCAGAGGTCTCTCTCTCTGTCTGTGTGGCTCTCGCTCATTCTCTCAACGCGACACACGTAAACAAAAAGAGACTTAACATTTAGCGTTATTTATGCTTGAGATTTAAAGCAGACCGTTCCAGAATAAAAGAGATTATTGCCGTGTTTATTATAGTGTGAGGTTTAAACAGCGAGAGCAACACATATTTAACGATATAAAAGTATAAATGCATGTGAAATTACGTGTTTTGTCTGCGCTTGCGTTGATAAAAGCCCGTGTTTGTATAATTATATTTGTTTTATTTAATTATTTATGAGCAGAAAGTGGAGGAAAGGAGACGAATTACTGTCGCGTTTTGTCGCTGGCTTCGTTCATGTTTCCTTTATATTTGAATATTTTCTGTGTAATAAATATCTGTGTGTTTGCGGTGGGGTCCACGCGTGTCTCGGTCCTACCTGCCCGACTTGGTGATGACCATCTCAGTGCCCAGCTTGTGGAACTGGTCCCAGAGATCCTTCGCCTCCAGTGTCACTTTGGGGTCATCGTCCACCTCCTCGTCGGGCTCCAGACTCTTCAACCCGCGGAGGTGAGCGGCCTGGTGGTGGCTGAGCGCCGGGTGGAGGGCCCCAGCTTCTGCCGACAGCTCCGGTGGGAGAGGCTTGGATCCGAGGCCGGGTGGAGGTAAGCTCAGAGCGGGGAAGAATGAGGGCTGAGCCGCGGCCAGGAAGGCGGACATGGGGAAGTCCGTCGGCCGGTGTGCGTGATGGAAGGGGTGGTAAGCCATGGCTGTCCCAGGAGCGAACACTGGGTCTCTCATCGGGGCATCCGAGCAAGCACAGCCGCGAAGACCACGGGGAGGACCGGCCTGAAAGAGACGGATGTCAGGCTGGAGAAACAGGCGGAGGAGAGACTCAAAGGAGACACCGAGAGGAGAGACCCAGAGGAAAGACTCAGAGGAGAGACCGAGAGGAAAGACCCAGAGGAGAGACCCAAAGGAGAGACCGAGAGGAAATACCCAGAGGAGAGACCCAGAGGAGAGACCGAGAGGAAAGACCCAGAGGAGAGACCCAAAGGAGAGAGACCCGGAGAAGCGCGTCTGTCCCCGGGTGACACTTTTCACGTCACAACCACATAACACACACGTTTTACGAGACTGACGCCGTATATTCTCAAAACCAGCAGAAGCGCAGCCCACGTCTCCAAGCCCCTGCACTTTACACTATAAAAAATATAGAAAATTCGACATTTTTGTTTTGCGAGACTAATGTCATAAATTTACAACAAGATGAGAACCGCGGGTCTCGTGCGTGAAAAACCACAACACACACGAGTATACGAGATTAAAGTCAGATATGAACAATAACAGCAGAAACGAGAGTCACGTCTCCAACGAACTGCACTTTACACTATAAAAACGCATTCTTTACGTGTAGTAGTTTTTTTGGCTTTAAATCGCTTTTCACAAATAATTCACTAATGTGTTTTCTGAGATTTTAACCTGTTATTTACTAATACTTCTAAATCAGCGCATTCAAACCAGCGGTAGTTTTTGCAACATACGCGAATACATATTGACTTTAACCATATTTTGAATAGATTATATGTTGTGTTGTGTGAGTGTGTAGCTGTAAAGTGCTATATCTGTGGATGTTTCCTGGTATTTTTTATTTAAAGACAGAACTTTCCGTGTTTTGTTGAGATAAGCCTCAGGTATTACGCAGCGATAGTCCTGGACACGAACAGACGTCTATAACATCGAATATCTTTATCTCAACATGGATTTAAATGTATTTGAGGTTGTATTTAGGGAGTGTATGAATCTGTGCCAGTTATTTTTAATTCAAAGCCAGAAGTTACGCTTTCAGCCCACTTTGGTCACATACGCTTCTTTCCACATCTATCGCAGTCGCAAATATAATTGCTTTTAACCTCAATGCAAATGCATTAGACGTTGTTTTTTGTGAGTGTAAAACTGTATGGTGATGTATAGTTTGAGATTCTGTCTTGGTGTTTGACATTCAGATCTCTACCGCGGAGAAATAATAGAATTCATCCGAAAAAGGCGCTCACACTGAAATCTCGCAAATATCTTGATTTTCACCTATTTTTTCAAGCATTAGATGTTGAATTTTTGGAGTGTGTTCTCGTTTATTGTTGTATAGTGCTGTGTAGTTTAAGATTCTGTCCTGGTGGTTGTCATTCACAGCTCTACACAGAAGCAACAGCGGAGAAATAACAGCGAGTTGTTTCTTTTGCCGCTCGATGTTTGGCTGCGGCGCGTCACACTCGGTCCTCTCCCGGGCTCACGGAGCTCTCTGTACAGTCACAAATCAACCCCAAAGCCGCGTGTGTGTGTGTGTATAAGCTCCAGTCGGTGTCGAGCCAGTCCCACTCACCTATCAATAAATAAATATATATAAATACAACAACAACAAAAAAGTTTTCCTCGCGGATCCTCGGAACAGGGCGAAAAATATACAGGTCCCGTGCGTAAAAACGTGGATAGTTCCCGGTGTGAGATGCTGGCGTCGCCCGGTGCTCTCCCCTCACACTGCGTCTCACACTGAGCCTCACACTGCGGACGGTGCGGCCCCTCAACAGCCGAAGCCAACGCGCTGTGATTGCTGATTTTACGCGCACTGGACCAATTGTAGCAAAGCAAGAGAGAAGTAGAGGCGTGGCCGCGACAGCTCCGAGCTCCGACGGGTGTGGAAGTGGAGAGAAGGGAGGGAGGAGGGGGAGAGAGAAGAGGGAGGGGGGGAGGCGGGTGGATGCAGGACAGGGGAAGGTGTCGGAAGCATTAGCAGTAAGAAAACATGTCAACAGGATAAAATATTAACCAATGACAGCGCAGAGAGAGAGGAGAACCCACCCCCGCGCGCGCTCTGAACACGGAGGATAGGGATGGATGGGATCGCTCTGATGGAGAGGTCTGAGCGGTTCTGTTAGTCTTCTGCTCGGTTTGAGAATACTGACCAAAATGAGTGTTTGTCCATGAACTGAGCTGCATGTGTTCATTTAAAACTGGGGTGTCTATACTTTATAGTTTCACGCACGTGGCCTGGTTCAGGTTGTGAGAAAGTATTTGGTGAAATTGTGTGAAAAATGCTTTCTGCCTGTAACTCCTTCTGCTGCCACCAGAGGGAGCAGTGATCCCTCTGTGATTGGAAAGAACCCATTTGGAAACTCATTTATGTCTATTTATTGTTTATTTTTCTCTGGCCTCTCTCTTTCTCTGGTCTCTATTTCTGGTCTCTCTTCTTGGTCTCTCTCTGGTCTTTCTCCTCTTTCTGGTCTCTTTCTATAGTCTCTCTTCTCTCTGGTCTTCCTCTCTCTTGTCTCTTTCTCTGGTCTCTCTGGTCTCTCTCTCTAGTCTCTCTCTTCTCTCTGGTCCCTCTCGCTTTGATCTCTCTTTTGTTTCTCTAACTGTGACGTCACAGCGGTAATATGACAAAGACGAGCTAGACAGAAGGGGCGGAGATACATGTTTGTTCTTGACATCAGCGTGGATGGATCCAAACACTGCTCGAGGTCTATCACTTATGAGAAACGAGAGACAAAGTTGATAAAGCATAATATATCTTTAAACCTCGCGACACCAATCTGTTTCCAAGTCTGTTCCCCGGGTCCACGGAGCCTCCTCCCCGGGTCACACCTCTGTGCTTGCCCGCCTTGTGAAGCACATCTCTCGGCTTCGCGTTTGGACAACAGTCGCGCTCCTCTCTCTGGCTCCAGCGCACCCACACACACACGCACACACGCACGCACGCACGCATTCACGCAGACGTCCCCCCTCTCCCCTCGCTCTCAGGCCGCCTCCTCTTTGTCCCAAACTCTTCCAGAGAAACCCGCGGTCACTCTGGCTCCTCTCCCCCGCCTCAGAGCGACTCTACCCCGGGCAGAGGGAGACGCGTGTCCGGGGGAGAGGACCCGCACTGACGCAGAGACACAGAGACGTCGCATCGGTGGAGGAGGGAGAGACGGGACCGGGAGCGGGAGAGAAACGGGAGAGACGCAGGAGTTAGAGGTGAGTTTTTGTCTCTCTCATAGTTTTCGCTATAGATTGGAAATAGGTCAAACTCAAGACCAAACGCGTCTACACTGTAAAAAAAAAAAAAACACATGTTATTAAAGCGCTGTAGGATCACGCGCTCGGGCTTTGATAAGTGTTAAAAATGTAAATAATCTGATGTATTGTTTGTGTAGTATTAGTTATAGATGAGAAAAGATAGTCATTATCTACATTTTACACGCTCCTTATATGGACCTAGTGTTTGTTTGTGTGTGTTCGAACTGATTCTCTGATCTGATGTGGGCAAATCCACAACTTTGTAAAGGGATTTAGAGCTAATACACAAATATATGAGCGAAGTGCAGTCGGGCTGATGTGAGACTTGGACATGAGCAAAAGGAGCAATAATGTGACTCATGCGTATAGCGGCTTTAGGGGAAAAATATGGCATTTTAAGATTTATTAATTTAAAAAAGTTGGTTCCAATTTACAAATAAACTAAAGTCTCTGTACTTTTAGATTTTAACAACTGGTCAATCGTTGTTGTAAATCTATTTTTAAAACAGATTTTAAACAGACAAAGCGTCTATATCGCTTTGTATTATCAGCTTTGTCGCATCCAGTTCGCGTCTTCCTGAGACACAGAAAAGGGAGGTTTAAGATAAAGACAGATACGAACAGAAAAGTGACCCGGGGTACGCGCGTAAATCGCTTTGTATTATCACCGTGTCGCTTCATGTTCGCGTCTGGTTCGCTTCTGCTTCCGTGTCCGCGGCTTCCTTCTGGGACACAGAGATAGAGATCCAAAAGAGAGAGACAGAAACGAACCGAGCCCGCGGTGTCGGAGCCCGGAGCCGCCTGTGGAGCCGGTGTCTGCCCGCGGGAGGGTCTTTTCTGTCCGCTGTGGCGCGCACTTGTTGCGGCTCCGGGGCCTTCTCCTCAGACACGTCACAGACTGTTCTGTAGGAGCAACATGAAGACTTTCATTCACAAAACAAGACGGAGATGGAAGTCTGGACAAATACAACAATTATACATTATACATATATTAAATATATTAAAACAAATTAACATAATTTATTCTCAATTATCTTTGTTTCCTTTATTTACACTTTATTTGCTCTGGTTCGAGGAGGAAGTTTTTACATCAATCTAATATTTTAAATAAAAAAAACAAGACACAGAAGTGAAACGTACAGTTTTTAAATGTGTTGTAATACACGCGCGCACGCATGCACACGTATACACGCAAACGCACGCGCGCACGCACCCTGACACAAGACCTATGTAAAGATTTGGTGTCTTTTGTTTCCCTCATTTAATATTGTACAAAATACTTAAATATATTTAAAGATGCAGACACAGATTTGTCTCTTTTTGTTCAGACGTGCTCTGCTGAATCACAAACACACACTTTAAAAACAATTATCACCATCTGTGTTTAAAGATATTTGTATTTGTCTAAACCACACTTTGTCTTTTTCCATATTCTCTCAGATTCAAACCTTCGTCATATTTTAGTGCAGAAACATCGTTGTCAAAATATTTTTTCTCTCACTGTAAAAACAGGTGAAGAAATGTGCGCGAGTCTGTTCATATGATAATAATAATAATAGTAATAATGATAATAATAATAATGACTGTACTGTAAAAATGAATCAAAGGAAACTTCTGAATCTCTGTCCCCATTTGTCATAATAATAATAATAAATAATAATATCTGTTGATAAATGGTGTTTTGTGGACACTTGGACACACGCCACAGGTTAAAGAGAAACTAAAATAACAAGATTTGAAAAAACAGGTGAAGAGGCCGTTTTTAGCTGGATCTGAGCTGAGAGAGAAAGAGAACTGACCCTCTCTGGTCTCTCTCTGGTCTCTCTCTGGTCTCTCTCTCTCTCTCTGGTCTCTCTCTCTGGTTTCTCTCTGGTCTCTCTCTCTGGTTTCTCTCTGGTCTCTCTCTCTGGTCTCTCTTTCTGGTCCCTCTCTGGTCTCCCTCTCTGGTCTCTCTCTCTGGTCTCTCTCTGGTCTCTCTCTGGTCTCTCTCTGGTCTCTCTGATCTCTCTCTCTGGCCTCTCTGGTCTCTCTCTGATCTCTCTCTCTGGTCTCTCTCTGGTCTCTCTCTCTGGTTTCTCTCTGGTCTCTCTCTCTGGTCTCTCTCTGGTCTCTCTCTCTGGTCTCTCTTTCTGGTCCCTCTCTGGTCTCCCTCTCTGGTCTCTCTCTCTGGTCTCTCTCTGGTCTCTCTCTCTGGTCTCTCTCTCTGGTCTCTCTCTGGTTTCTCTCTGGTCTCTCTCTCTGGTCTCTCTCTGGTCTCTCTCTCTGGTCTCTCTCTGGTCTCTCTCCACTCTCTTGACCCCGTCTGTTTTACGGCGTCTCAAAGTGACGCTTTTGGTTGCAAACCACAAATCACCTGTGTGTTTACTGAGGCCTAATCATTAACGTCACACTCAATTTTATAACGATCTCTCCCTGACGACAGAAGCATCAAGACCAGAGAGAGACCAGAGAGAGACCATAGAGAGACCATAGAGAGACCATAGAGAGACCATAGAGAGACCATAGAGAGACCATAGAGAGACCAGAGAGAGACCATAGAGAGACCATAGAGAGACCATAGAGAGACCAGAGAGAGACCATAGAGAGACCAGAGAGAGACCAGAGAGAGACCAGAGAGAGACCAGAGAGAGACCAGAGAGAGACTGGCCTCGCTCTCTGGTCTCTCTCTGGTCTCTCTCTGGTCTCTTTCCGCTTCATAATTCTTCATCTAAAACACTGTAAACATCAAAGTCTCTCATATTTAGTGATAAAACAGATTTTAGTTTTAAACTCGAGTTGGAAATTCAATTTCATTCATCGTATTTCAATCTGGAGAAACTCGATAACAAAACTAGGATTTTATTAGAATTGTTTATTGTTTACGGTTAATCTGACACTGCAAAAATCAGCACAGACGACTTTTATCACCTATATTACATACTGTAGGATAAACATGGTTAAGATTTGGTCCTGGGCCCATAGACTCTGGTGTTGGGAGCTCAGAGAAGCCCACAGAGCTGGACGAGGCGGAGATGGGGAGGAGGAGGGTTGCTGCATGAATGGGAGGGTTGGGTTTAGGAGGACAATGTGGCAGAGTTCTTCTTCTCTTCTATCCAGACTGAACCTCCACTTGGTTTTCATAGTCCTTTTCCTCTCTCCCCTCTCTCTCCTCTCTCTCCCTATCCCCTCTTTCTCCTCTCTCCCCTCTCTCTCCCTATCCCCTCTCTCTCCCTATCCCCTCTCTCTCTCTATCTCCTCTCTCGCTCCCTATCCCCCTCTCTCTCTCTCTCTCCCCTCTCTCTCTCCCTATCCCCTCTCTCTCCTCTCTCCCCCTCTCTCTCCCTATCCCCTCTCTCCCTCTCTCTCTCCCTATCCCCTCTCTCTCCCCTCCCCCTCTCTCTCTCTCTATCTCCTCTCTCGCTCCCTATCCCCTCTCTCTCTCTCTCTCCCTCTCTCTCTCCCTATCCCCTCTCTCTCCTCTCTCCCCTCTCTCTCCCTATCCCCTCTCTCTCCTCTCTCCCCTCTCTCTCCCTATCCCCTATCTCCTTTCTCTCCTCTCTCCCTATCCCGTCTCTCTCTCTCTCTCTCTCTCCCCTCTCTCTCTCCCTATCCCCTCTCTCTCCTCTCTCCCCTCTCTCTCTCTCTCTCCTCTCTCCCTATCCCCTCTCTCTCTCCCCTCTCTCTCCTCTCTCCCCTCTCTCTCTTCTCTCTCCTCTCTCCCTATCCCCTCTCTCTCTCTCTCTCTCTCTCTCTCTCTCTCTCCCCTCTCTCCCCTCTCTCTTTGCTCCCCCCTCACCTCCTCCTCTCTCACCTCTCTCCCACTCTCCCCCTCCCTCACCACCTCCTCTCTCAACCCTCCCTCACCTCCTCCCTCCCTCTTACTTCTCTCTGAGTTATATTTAGCGGCGAGTCTCAGGCCTTGGCGCCAGTGCGTTTAAGACCTGTCAAAGTCCCTCATATCCCCTGCGTCACATGTAGAGAAGGCGACCAGAAGCCTGCCTCCCCCTCCCCCCTCTCCTCCCCCCATACACACTCCCACCCTCTGCCTTTCTCTCTTTTGCTAAAGATCTGATGATTTCAAAGAGTGTGTGTAAGAAGCAGCTGTGTCACTCTGAAACAGAGAGAAACAGCAGGAACTAACTAGACCCAGGACAGGTTGTATACCCAGGACTGAGGCTGTAGACCCAGGACTGAGGCTGTAGATCCAGGACTGAGGCTGTATACCCAGGACTGAGACTGTAGATCCAGGACTGAGGCTGTAGATCCAGGACTGAGGCTGTAGACCCAGGACTGAGGCTGTAGATCCAGGACTGAGGCTGTATACCCAGGACTGAGACTGTAGATCCAGGACTGAGACTGTAGATCCAGGACTGAGGCTGTAGATCCAGGACTGAGGCTGTAGATCCAGGACTGAGGCTGTAGACCCAGGACTGAGGCTGTAGATCCAGGACTGAGGCTGTATACCCAGGACTGAGGCTGTAGACCCAGGACTGAGGCTGTAGATCCAGGACTGAGGCTGTAGATCCAGGACTGAGGCTGTAGACCGAGGACTGAGGCTGTAGATCCAGGACTGAGGCTGTAGATCCAGGACTGAGGCTGTAGACCCAGGACTGAGGCTGTAGATCCAGGACTGAGGCTGTAGATCCAGGACTGAGGCTGTAGACCGAGGACTGAGGCTGTAGATCCAGGACTGAGGCTGTAGATCCAGGACTGAGGCTGTAGATCCAGGACTGAGGCTGTAGATCCAGGACTGAGGCTGTAGATCCAGGACTGAGGCTGTAGATCCAGGACTGAGGCTGTATACCCAGGACTGAGGCTGTAGACCGAGGACTGAGGCTCTAGATCCAGGACTGAGGCTGTAGACCCAGTGTGATTGACAGAACACACAGATAATGGAGATGTTATTTATGGGTTGTGCAGGTGCATGAGCCTGAGGCCGGGGGTGGGACTCAGTTCAGGGACTGAGGCCCGAGGCGAGCGCCCGGACCACAGAGGCGGCGCGTAAACAAGAGACTCACAGAGAAGAGCAAACACAACGGCGTGGGATGGATTTAGTGCAAACAATAATATAAGTCATAGAAAAATATTGTCTGAAAAATCTATGAACTTTTGTTTTGGGTCTTTATCTGGTCTGGATCCAGTTCTGGTTTTGGGTCTAGGTGTGGTTGTACTCCAGGTCAGGTCTGGTCTTGGATCTGAAGTGCAAAACATAAAATCTAGAGTGAAAGACTTTGGACTTTTGTTTAAAATGACAAAACTTAAACGTTGGTTTGGGTCTTTCTCTGGTCTGGGTCCGGTCTTGGTCTAGCTGGGGATTGGTCTGGTTGTAGTCTGGGTCTGAGAGGAAGAGAGAGACCAGAGAGAGAGAGACCTGAGAGAGACCAGAGAGAGACCAGATAGAGAGACCAGAGAGAGACCAGATAGAGAGACCAGAGAGAGACCAGCTCTACTATTTCACCGTGACACACATATTGATAGAAACTAATTTCTTCTTCTCTTTTTTTCTCTTTCAGGACAGTGGCTGAGTGGTTAGCCCTCTCTGTGGCTGAGTGGTGAGACAGTTCTGGTTCTGATTGGTTCCTCTGGTGTTTATAACATTAATAAATTTATTTTGATCCTTTACTTCTGTTTTAAGCTAAAGATCGAGATTTGATTTTGTTTGATTAAAGATCCTCATTCTACCGTTTTGTAACTTGTAATTTGCAACCCTGGAATTTCTGCCGTACATATTTATTTTAATGTTTCTGGTTTTTTTAAATACACTTTGGATTTGTCTGAACTGTGCTACACAAATAAACTTGCCTTTTGAAAAGTTTTTATATATGTCTCGGATCATCACTGTCAGAACTCATTACCCACAATGCCTCCTGCTCTGGTCTCTCTCTCTAGTCTCTCTGGTCTCTCTCTCTGGTCTCTCTCTCTAGTCTCTCTAGTCTCTCTGGTCTCTCTCTGGTCTCTCTCTGGTCTCTCTCTGGTCTCTCTCTGGTCTCTCTCTGGTCTCTCTCTGGTCTCTGGTCTCTCTTTGGTCAGACACAGAAAAATGAGCAGAACATTTGTTGTAATTTTGACAGAATCTTTATTCGAATGCTTCAAAACAACATCAGACACATTTAAAGCTCAGTTATCGTTAAACATCTGTTCATTTGGTCGTTTTTACAAAATACATGGATTTGTCTCAACCGCAACAATTTCTGAATCGGACACGGACAAAACATACGAGTTAAAATCAAGAGAAATGGAAAATGTAACTGTAGGAGAGAGACTAGAGAGAGAGACCAGAGAGAGAGACCAGAGAGAGACTAGAGAGAGAGACCAGAGAGAGTGACCAGAAAGAGAGACCAGAGAGAGACTAGAGAGAGAGACTAGAGAGAGAGACCTGAGAGAGAGACCAGAGCGAGAGAACAGAGAGACTAGAGAGAGAGAGACTGAGGGGTGCGAAGGAGAGTAGCAGTAGCAGTAGGGGGGTTTCTCTCATTGGAAGTTGGTGGGGAACAGGCTCAGGGGTTGGCTGTCGTTGGTCGGCAGAGGAGAGCGATATCCTTCGAAGTTTCGTGGAATAGATCCACTGGTGGAACCTGAACTGTTGCTGAGCGTCTCTATACTGCCCTCTCTCTGCAGCTCTGAGGACACAGGAGAGAGCACATGTGAGAAAGTACACAGGAGAGAACACATGAGAGAGAGTATACAGGAGCAGGAACACAAGAGAGATAGTACATAGGACAGAACACATGTGAGAGAGTACACAGAAGAGAACACATGTGTGAGAGAGTACACAAGAAAACACATGTGAGAGAGTACACAGGAGAGGGCACATGTGAGCGAGTACACAGGACAGAACACATGGGGGAGAGAACGCGAGAGAGAGTACACAAGAGAGAACACATGTGAGAAAATACACAGGAGAGAACACATGTGAGAGAGGACATGCAAGAGAGTACACAGGAGAGAGCACATTCAAAATGGAACATTTAATATTAACTATAGCCCCATTTCCACCAGTCCTACTTTCTCTGGTCTCTGTCTCTCTCTCTGGTCTCTCTCTCTGTGGTCCCTCTCTGGTCTCTCTCTCTCTCTGGTCCCTCTCTGGTCTCTCTCTCTGGTCTCTCTCTCTGTGGTCCCTCTCTGGTCTCTCTCTCTGGTCTCTCTCTCTGTGGTCCCTCTCTCTGTGGTCCCTCTCTCTGTGGTCCCTCTCTCTGGTCTCTCTCTCTGGTCTCTCTCTCTGTGGTCCCTCTCTCTGTGGTCCCTCTCTCTGTGGTCCCTCTCTCTGGTCTCTCTCTCTGTGCTCCCTCTCTGGTCTCTCTCTCTGGTCTCTCTCTCTGTGGTCCCTCTCTCTCTGGTCTCTCTCTCTGTGGTCCCTCTCTCTGGTCTCTCTCTCTGTGGTCGCTCTCTGGTCAGTCTCTCTCTCTGTGGTCGCTCTCTGGTCAGTCTCTCTCTGGTCTCTCTCTCTGGTCTCTCTCTCTGTGCTCCCTCTCTGTGCTCCCTCTCTGTGCTCCCTCTCTGGTCTCTCTCTCTGGTCTCTCTCTCTGTGGTCGCTCTCTGGTCAATCTCTCTCTCTGGTCTCTCTCTCTGACAGAGGCTGATCTGCTGCTGAGGTTTTTGGATAAAGTTGAAAGAAAGTGTTTTTCAGGATCATGACCCGAGTTCAGGAGTTATCACCGGCAGATAAGGAAAGCAGGAGGCAGAGAGGGGAGGGAGGGAGGGAGGGAGGGGGGAGGCAGCCGTGGCCTCAGATAACAGCAGTAAAACCAGGAGCCTCCTGCATCACACACGTTCACATCCAAGAGGAGAGAGAAAGGAGAGAGAGCGAGAGGAGTGAGTAGAGAGGGGGGAGAGAGAGGAGAGAGTCTACAGTCTCCTGTGGTGTAAATGGTTTCATACATCAGTCTTGTGTTCAAAACCCAAGTGTCTGTGATGAACGAGACGAGTGCAGAGAGAGAGGGGCCTCTGCACTGTACAAAGATCTTTCTGCAGTAAGAGAGGGACCAGAGAGGGACCAGAGAGAGACCAGAGAGGGACCAGAGAGAGACCAGAGAGGGACCAGAGAGAGACCAGAGAGGGACCAGAGAGAGACCAGAGAGGGACCAGAGAGAGACCAGAGAGGGACCAGAGAGGGACCAGAGAGGGACCAGAGAGAGACCAGAGAGAGACCAGAGAGGGACCAGAGAGAGACCAGAGAGGGACCACCCACTAAACATCCGACGTCCACTCAACCTCCAGATCACGTCAATATCGCGTCGGTCGGTCGGTGACCTTTTATTTACGTCCAAACGACGTCTGTGCAAGGTGCGCATCTGGACGTAAAACAATGACCTCCCATATACGTGGATATGACGTTCAATCCCGACCTCCCCTAGACGTCGAAAACAGGTCATCGGCCGACCGACGCAGTACGTCTTGATCTAGCAATACAATATATAGGCTGTGAAGCAATCTCAGTGTACGATAGTAGTGTAGTGGTTAAGCAGATGTGTGCAGCCTTGATTACGTGAGTTCGAGCCCACGTGTGTATTATTGGGTTGAGTTGGGTGTTTTTAAATCACAGTTGAAGACACATCTTTTCAGGAAAGCATTCAATGCATAGTCACTGACTCGACTGCTGTTCTTTTTTATGTGTTTGTTTTTATCGGTGTCTATTGTGATTCTTGTTTTTATCCTGGAAAGCGCCCTGGGCACCTTCTGGCTGTTGTTGGGCGCTATACAAATAAAAATTTGATTGATTGATTGATTATTATCTTTACATATTTGTTTTGATTTTTAACGAACAATTTTTTTCTGTTTGGTTAAAGACTAATAAACACTCAACATAGGATTACGTAGTGGCTAATAATACAACTTGTGAATGTATGTATTTGTTGTGCTAACAATCTCAAGTTTGCAAATAAGGGGTGAGCACTTGAGATTTTATGCAAATGCATGGGTTCACAAGTTTTATTATTAGCCACTACATAATCTTATGTTGAGTGTTTATTCGTTTTTAACCAAACAGAAAAATTGTTCGCTAAAAAGTGAAAAGTCAAAAGTTTTCCGACGGGGATTTGAACCCGTGTCGTTGCGGCTGAAGTCTCATTACGCAACCGCTACACCACCGCCAGGCATTTTTTCTGACTACTGTGAAAAAATAATACATAACACCCTAAACAACCGACGCACACTTATGCGCCGCGCGAGTATAACTTATAACTTTACAGCCTGACACGTGAGTCGCTCGCTCGAGGACCTGTTTTCGACGTCTAAACGACGTAAGGTGTGCATCTGGACGTAAAGCAATGCCTTCCCAGATGTTGATATGACGTTGAATCTGTACCTCTGTCGCTGCCCTGCTTTATTTACTTGGAATCACCCTCTCTAGTAAGTACACAGTCTGCACAGTTTTTAGATATAGATGTATCATTTCCACATTGAAAAGAGTTGGAGACAGAAAGTAAGTTGTTTTCTCACGTATACGTGGATTTTGTTAAGTATATTTTGTATATTATCTGTATTTTGAATTGCCAGTGCATGAATCTATAATAATAACGGCTGGCACTGCTCAGCTGAAAGGGAGACACCTTTATTTGTTTTTAAGTTAAAGTTTAAAATATGATATTGTTTTTCATATTTCAAACTATTTTTAACACATCAGAATTCTTAGGTTAGACTGTCCAACAAACTATGTGTTAAAAAAGGTTAAGATTCTTGAGTTTTAAAATAATAATTCAATTCTAAAATGTAAAGTTACTGTATATTTCACAATGGTTTATAAACTGCAAAAAGACAACAGTACTTAGTAAACTAAGTTTAAAAACAGGGAGATCAGCTTTAATATTTGGGACACTCCCATCATTTAGACACCTGTGATGTCATCAGTTGGAGTTGAGTTCAGGTGTGGGACCATGTGGGACCATAGGAGCACACAGATGTTACCTGCTGCAGAAAGAGAGTTTAATGTTTTAATAAATGGATTTAATGTCTTCCTATTAAATCTTCAATGTCAGAGACTTTCACTTCTTCTCACTGTGGCTGTTTAAAAGAGCCACTACAGTTGTTATTTTTGTTATTGTTAGCTGCAAATATTAAATATCCATTCATCTGCTGGTAGCAAGCTAACTAGCGCTTGCAACTCTATTCAATTTCTTACTTTTTCTTATAAACTTTAAAACCAGCCATATGTTAATTAAAATACATTTACCTTTGCTAATGCAGTCAATTATTGTGAAATCCATAGAGTATAATTTCATGATTGTTGCAATAACTAATGTTCTGTGTGTATTCCTAATGTGTCATGTGTGTTTGAGTCTTACAGGTGTCAGACTGTGTTGAAGGTGTTCAAAGGTAAGAATCACACTCTCACACATTGATTGTTGTTCTGTATTAATATGTTGTTTTTAGAATAAACCATTATTTGGTGTATTCTCTTTGAAAACATCTATCTTTTTCTCAGATTGTTCAGCAACTCACTCATGATGAGGGAAAAGAGCAACAAGGGGAAAATGCCCGCTCGGAAATGCGACATGTGTAGAGTAATACAGGGTAAGTAGCTTTCAGGGCTCATTTGTCCATGTGCAAAACAAATGCACATTTGCAATTGTTTTTTACATGGAATTACTCCAATGACCAAAGCCTTATCCCAAGTTTCTCAGACGGGAGTGTCTTCCAGTGTCTCGAGCTAGTGCAGTGCCAAGGTTTGTATCACATGGTGATGGATCGAGTGGTTTGAGGCATTAATAGAAAGTTATGTGTTGTTATATCACTTTGCCACATTATGTTGAAACTAAACATGTTCCACATTTTCAGGTGCTGTGCTTGGACCTTGTGATGAGAGACTGAAGACCAAGAGAGGACACATGTTGGAACCTCAACATTCAATAAATGCATTCTTCTGCCTTTCAGATTGTGTTTTTACATCTGGGGAACCTAGAGTGTAGCTTGTGCCTGTTTTAATACTGATCCAAACATAGGCGCTACAATCATGTTTTTTTACTTTGGCATGAACTGTTCAGTACAGTAGTGTTCAGTACAGTAGTGTTCATAACACTGTGCCCTGTGTGCTTTAACTTGTACTTTGATGTAGAGAAACATGATTTTTAATGCAGCTCCATTTGCAATAATGACTGATATCCTTCTACTACAGTTGTTCTAATGATTTTTGAATGCTGTGTTTATCGTTTATTGCCCAGAGTCAGAACTAAACATGATAAAGCTGCATTTCAGATTCACAAGGCTAAAATCTGGAACGGTCTTCCTGGAAATGTGAGACAGGCTTCTTCTTTGACAATGTTAAAATCCAGGTTTAAAACACTTCTGTTTCTGCTTCAACTGAGAGATTTTATGAGAGATTTTATTTGTATCTTTTTAATTTACTGTCAATATTTATAATTGTAATGCCTTGTTTGATTGTTTCTATCTTTTGTTCAGTGCTTTGAGTTTCCTTTTGTTTTGACTGTGCTATACAAATAAACTTGCCTTGCCTATTGCAAAAAGTATGTCTCGACCAGTGAGTGATTCTGCAGAGGTTAAGTAGGTCAATAGGACTGTAAATGGACGTCATATAAACGTCAATATTTTGGTCATATAAGACGTCGAGAGGACGTCGGACCCGACCGGTTCTGTACCACATTGCAACCTTGAATGAAGTGGCCGC